TGTTAAAAGTAAAGATTTGGCTCCCCACCTTTGTCCCACTGAATCACAATCCTCAGAACTGAGTTAGGTGTCCGAGTTTTTAATAAATACCCTAACTGACTATAACTTAAAGTCAGGGTTAGGAACCACTATTCTAAAAAGTCTGACCTGAACTTGCTGACATAACTTTTGAGGAACTATTAGAAATATAATGAAAGTATTAAAAGAAAGAAATATGATTCAGTACAGCCATTTGATGGTTTTGGTTTGGCCATTTCATAACTGCATTAACTAAGAAACAAGTAGCCATGTACAGAATCTGTTTGGCAAAGACAATTACATATCACTACTCTTGTAGTACCTTCACAAGCCATTTCTGGAGGCCAAAATATTAATGATTTGAATCTTAATTATCTGTATAGCATGTTAATATTTTCAAAGCCCATTCACAAGCCAGAGACCTCAAAACATAGCTATCAGGAAGGAGAGTCAGCTAATGGAAAAGCTCACAAATGGCCGAGGTTTAAAATATAATAAAATAAATTATAGATTCATGATTTCCAGATTTGTGGATCCCAGAGGGTAAGTTAAATTTATAAATATGTACATGAAATGACTGTAGGATTCCTTTAAAGCAATGGTAAAAGCCAGATTCTTCTTATGTATTTGTTGATTATTCATTCGTTTCATTTGTTCAGTTAGTTTTCTATATTGCTTTTCTACACATTATTATAAGGTGATGTTATTACAGTTTTTAATCAAGCATCAAAAACATGCCTAACCACATGCAATTAGACGTGTTCCCTTCTTACTTTGAAGAATACTTAATTCAACTAAAATTTAGATTTATTATGAAAAAACATAGAAAGAAGGGCAACATACTCATTAAAGTAAAGGAGATTATCAAAGAAATCCTCAATACAGTTAAAGAAAAACGGTATGTCAAACATTCCAAAAATTGCTTTTTATTGTATTTTTTTAAATATTGTGCTTTTAAAACATACATTTTTTCCCTGATTCAGAATCCTTTACCGTCTCTCGAGAGCACTCCGTCTAGGAATGTAAATGTGGCAGCACCAGGCCTGTCTTCCCCTCACATTACTCTCTTAGCTTTCCAGTTTGTCTAGTTTCTATCCTAATCAACTCTTCATGACTTTTGCATTGTGGCAAAACAGAACCTCATCTTCCATTTCACAATTTATGTACTGATTTCAAGTTCGGTCATGTTTCATATTTTAGCCTATTTCCAACAGTTGCATTTTTTCTCCCTGGGATGTTAAAATCAGTATGTCTGAAAACAATAGTGAGGAGCATGCATCGTCTCCCCAACCATCTCCAGTCAAATGAAACAAAAAGTGAATTCATATGGGTCTTCGTAAGCACCAAGGAGTCTCCTGTACCATTACCCCTCCTTATTTCCTCCCCACACCCTCTGAGAAGAGCGATAAGAGGTCCTGGTTTAGGACGTCAGTATCTCTCCCGTCACTGAGTCTTTCGTTATAGTGAGAGAGGAAACAGAAAAGCACATCTAGGGTGCTTTGAATAACCAAATTTCTAGAACTTAATGATGCCTGTCAACCACCCCACTCTCTTTCCCCTCTTCCAAAAACGAGGATTATGAGTGAATGTTACAAAATCCTAGAAAAACATACTGTGTCGGGTAAACCCAACAGTCCAGAGCAGATGTGGAAGGCAACTACTCCCATTAAACGTTTACTCTCTAAAGATTATGCCAACCCTAGCCTGAGTTTTGGCTTCAGAACAAGATACACTTTCAGACTGGCAGGGCCTATCCACACGGAGCTACGTGATGCCAGGAGGAGCGACTGGGGAACAGCAGGCTTTCTAAAGAATTTGGATCTAAAGTAAAGAAAGACTGGAAAGGAAATCAACCCACTGCTGAGAAAACAAATAAAGCCAATCAATCCAAATCAGAAGAACAATCAATGGAGGAAGGCAACATGAAGCAAGGTTAGGCTGAACACTTTGTCTGAACCTCAGGATTAGTTCCAATTTATTACAAAACATAACAATATGAAGCATTCTATAACTTGAGCGGAAAATTGTTGCAGGGCATGAAATACAGGATAAAGGTATGATTCCAAGACAAGGTTTATTTTCTTTAATATATTATTAAGTATGTATTATTTGCTTTCTTTTTCAATTTTTAGTTAAAAGATCCCCTGATCCTCTGTAAGTTCCTGAAAAACAAGCATTTGGCCTTTCATATCTGTACCACCGGCACTAGCATAGTAGGCATACCAGCTATGCAATGAATTTCTGCTGAACTGACTGAATAAATGAACAAAGTTATATCTCATCTTCTCTTTTTCTGAAATGAATTAACAAACAGCATGAAAGCAAGCAAAAAAATGCATATGGTGAATAATTTAATCTTGCTAGCAAGACCAAATCTACTTATTTAAATGAATAAAGACAGTGGTCTGCACAAGTATATATCATACAGCACAGGGAATATAGCCAATATTTTATAATAACTTTAAATGGAGTATAATCTATGAAAATTTTGAATCACCTGAAAGTAACATAATATTATAAATCAACTATACCTGAACAAAAAAAGAATTTAAAAAAAAAGATAGTGGTCTGTACTGTATACAGATAAGACTAATTGTGTCCATACCCTAATTGTTCAAAGGAAGAAAAATCTGGTGGGTGGCACCAGATGTCCCTCTTCTCTACATGTCTGCCAAGACTGTTTCCAGACTTCTCACTATCTCTTGCCCTTGATAGATTTATACTAAATATTCTTAAAATCATTTTTGACATTACAGAGCAAACATGTTAAGATTATAGTGGCCAAGACAACTGTGGTGAGTCTGGTGCAGTGCAGCAGCCTCTCAAGCACCTTCTGTTCCAATTTATTCCTCAACATCTGATTTTCACCTTGTGTTTAATGTCAAAGTTGTCACAACCTCTCCTGGACGCAACTGGAGTAAAATATTGAAAAAAAAACACTGTCACGGTTCCCTAGCAATACAGGAGGTTCTAGCCGAGGGCACTGAGCTAAATGAGCTCTGGAGGACGCTACTTCCCACCAGTGGGTGTTCCACTCTAGCTGATCCCATCAAATGCTGGGGTCAGGACGGTGCAGGGGCTGCTACCTGGCCTGCTGGGCACAGAGCTTAGCTCCTCCCATCAGCATAACTGATCTGCAAAGCTAAGGTGAAGAACTGTAACACACCACTCTTCATAAATGGACATCCCTCACCAAGCCCATCTCTCTATTCTGTCCCCAACCTCCATCTGCACTCCATCCCCATATCCCAGGAGGAAAAGATCTACGAGAAATGGTTGTAATCTACACACAAAGACCCAGAAGGTCACCTGACAATCGTGGCCTCTCAGAAGGCAAGAGAGTACTGAAAAACTTGCAGTTTTTGAGACTCCAGATATATTAAAATATTGAAAAAAAATGACTGTTCCTAACGTTTTATTGAACAATTTAAATTGTTCAGTGAATGTCTTCTTCAATACTATTTCTGTATCCAAGAGTTAGTGGCTCCTGGAGATAATACAAAAAGTCTAAATACTGGTCCCTTCATGGTTTTCAGGCTGGTTTCAGTAGGCTTTCCTCAGAGCTCCCCTAGAGCCACGTCCAAAGTCCCTGAACCCAAGATACTCTTATTTGCCTTCCTATGTCTTAAAGGAAGAAGCAGAAAAAGCCGTTCACTAGGAAGTAGAAAGCGGCTCCCCCTAACTCTCTTTGTGCTCCAGAATAAGCAGAGGTGGGTACTGGCATATTCCAGACGTAGAAGATAAATCCACCCCTCCCCCAATTCCCAGCACACACCACTATCTCCAAAAGCGTCTTGTTATTCTGCGAACGGGATGCAAATCTAGATCCATTTTCACTTTGGTTTAAAGAATAGGAGAATTGCTCAACGTTCAACTTCTGTGCTTGTTTTTCCTTTGGATGAAACTATTTTACTCTTTTTCGCCCCCTTCCCTCAGATACTAAACAGGGTGAGTGCACACATTATGTGGCAATAAATTTAGATATGTCTGACTGAGAGAAATCTGTAGTAATGTGGTAACTTCAATTCAGGGTAATAGAATCTTCATAATAGTCCTCACTACTTCATCTATCTGGTTTACACAGCTTACTAATAGAAATTAGGTGGGGTTTTTTTTACCTTTTTCCCACTTTTTCGGCCTCTTCTCCAATTTTCAGCTTTTACTTTAACTATACTGTTTAGCTAGAAGTTAAAATACCTTTGTGAAGGTGGTACCCAGTGCCATCCTAACTCAGAGAATTAAGAGGAATTTGTAGAGTCGTTCAGTAAAGTTCATACTCAGTGTGATAATGATCCGTGTACGGAATAAATCCAATTAGCATATGGGTACTTAGAGTTCATTCATTTAATATGAAGTGACATTTTGATAACTAAAGAATTGAGCCATTAACACTTTCTGGTTACAACCTGTCTGACAGATTCTCGGCATGAACTTCACTAACTGAGTTTTCAAGGACTTAGGTGAGGATTACTGAGGCGATGCATCCCGTGCTCAGTTTCTTCTGTAAAAGTGCTCTGGAGGTCCTGTGGAAATGGCTTCCTTTCTGGGAAGTATCTAAGAAAGTATGTTCAACAGTTTGGAAAAAGAAGAAAATTGTTCTAATTTGGGGGTTTTTTTTCTTTTGAAAATCACCATATTCAACCTTGATTAAAGAGTTCAATTGATTAGAACATTTTGGCAGTGTGCCTTTCAAATTAAAAAAATGGTACTGATATGAATATGCAATTTTAGGCCTTGACAGAGCCACTGCGATCTCATTTGGGTATTAAAGGGGAGTAGGTTTTATTTGGTATTTTGAGAGATGCTATGACTGTTTGCTAAATGAGTGAAACAGACCAATGAACACTAGCAGAGCGAACAACTGCACTCCTGAATTTTGATCAGGGCCCTACCTCTATGTACGCCTGCTTTGCTCTTGTTCTAGAACCCTCATTTAGAGTTCTTCATGTTCTGCCAGAATATCACATCAACATTCTTTCTGTCCTCCATTCAGCTGTCTTATCCTTCTTCCTATAACAAACATGAAAACACATTACAGACTAAAAGCACTATGCAAATATACATTATTATTACAACTTAAGCCATAATGTGGTCCAAGAATACTAGGACCAGAAATTCTCAGTTAGAAATTTTCTTTAGATAGAAAATTCCAACTTTCTAGGCCAGGTACCTATACAGAAATTTGCCAACACTTCGGATGAAAAATGTTAAAAATTGTACTCTCGCTTTGAAATTATGGGGGAAAAGGAGGCTGAGCACAGTTTTAGGTTCTTACAGACATGAGCACAGGAATACACTGAGTAATGTATTTTTTACTCCTACAACTTTTATCATCAAAACAATTCAAAACCACTATGTTGTCTTATGCCTGTATGTGGAAAAAATAAAGAAACACAAGAACTGAATGTCGAAGCAAAACAAGCACAAGGGAGTTCTAATCCTAAACTTGTCTGCAGTTCACAGTCTACACTAAAACATTTTCTTTTACAAACGTTTCTCGGCTTCTCCTTTTGTAAGGAAACAAAATCACACTTGTTGGGTCAGCCACTAGCTCTATGGAGTAAAGGTCCTACATAAATCAGTCTTACAATAATCTACGCTTTAAAAAAAATCAAGTTAACCATGTTTAAAAATTAAAGGATGTTTTTCCATATTAAATGGTACCAGTAGCCAGACTAAGCACTACAGCAGCTCTTACATTCCCTCAAAGATTTACCACCAGCTTCTTTTCCCTTCTCCAGCACAGTCTTGCTTTAGACTAGCAGTAACCCAAGGTGGAAAGACAGTGGGCTTTGAAGCTGACAATTCTTGGCTACATTTCCCATTCTGCCGCTTCACAACGCATGTGATGTTCAGGAAATTCTCTTAGCCTCAATGTCCTTAATTGTACAATAGGGATGCTAATACCCACACATTGAAGATGGCTGGAGTATTAGATGAAATGAGATAGAGTAAGTCCCCTACATACAAACCTTCAAGTTGTGAACTGTCAAAGATAAGACCACGCTATTACCCAGACATCACTGGATGGTTTTCTCAAGAGAGTAGATAGAATAGAATCCAGCAAGGAACCAGAACCTGTGCCATCAACATCAGGTGTGAGTGAAATTGCAGCTTGCCCTCCATCTCCTATTGCTGACGGTCCTTCAGCTCTACCATCCCCCACCCCCTCTCCCTCCTCCAGTCGGTAACTCTTCTTGCCTGTTCACTCGATGCCAGTCCCTGGATGCCAGCTGTTGTACCGTACTACTGTACTTCTCAAGGTACTGTACACTGTAAGATTAAAAATGTTTTATTTTTTTAGTTTGTTTTTTATGTATTATTTGTGTGAAAAGTATTATAAACCTATTACAGTAAAGTACTATATAGCCGATTGTGGCTAACTTTGTTGGACTTACAAACAAATTGGACTTAACGAACATGCTCTCAGAACAGAACTCGTTTGTATGTAGGGGACTGGCTGTATATAAACACCAGGAGCCAGGATCAGCTACACTGGGGTCCAGTGCAAAATGCAAACACAGGGCACCTTGTTCAAAAACTACTAAAATTTTCAAGATGGCAACAGCAGAGCATAAAACCAAGAGCAGAGCCCTTCTGAGCGTGGGATCTGTGGTACTGCATGGGTCACACACTTGTGAAGCTGTCCTTGCCCAAGAGCATTGCAAGTACTCAATAAATGATAGGTATTATTAAAGTGCTTACTTTGATATGAACTTTTAACTTTTCAGAGTGTTTCACAGAGACATGGTTTTCCCAATGGGGACACAACCCTCAGAGAATGGAAATGTCATTGAACAACTGCTGGAAAGCCATTGAATGTCTCTTGGCCCAAATTTTCTCATGTTCAGAACAGAGGTTGATTCAGAGAAGCGGTTTTCAAACTATGCTTTCAAGCTATGCTGAAGAATCCTTGGAGTGCCCTCAAAGACACAAAGGGCAGGGAAGAGGGGGCAAGCCAAGTGGATCACTTTTTTTGAAACAGAGTGACCATGTTTGATTTTCTTACCTTCATTTGAAAAAACTGAGTTACATGAAAATAAATGAAAACTACTGGATTTGTTGAGCTTGCAGTCTTTCCAATTTTAAGTTCTGTGCTCTATAATTGTTGTATCTTCACAACAACCTTAAAAGTAGAAGGATAGATAACACCACTTCCACTTGTTAAAGAATGTACAGAGTTCCTTTCCTGGGCTGCCCCTCTCCTCTCCAGCTTCCAGAAATTATTTCCTTTTAAGGATACTCCCTTTCTAGCTCCTCAAGAAACCCACCTCCCTCTGAGGTGACTATAGCGTTAACGCGACCATGGCAGAGGAGGGAAGAGGGTTACCAAAGGGGATGAATTAGAGGTCAATTCAATATGATAATAAGCCATGTCCCTCATTTCTACTCAAATTGTGCCTCCTTTATATCCAACATCTTTCTCCCAAACCTGCAGTTCCCTTTCTTCAATCCCACTCCACAAAGCACCCGGTTGCTATCGGTTCTTTCATGTAGGAGCTCACACTATGGAACCACACAGCCTGGGGCTGAATCTCCCCTCTACCACGTTCTCACTTGTGGCCTGGATGGAGAACCCCTCCGGCCAGAGTTTTCTCATAGGGTTATTATAAAGATTAAATGCATGAATATGTATAAACCACTTGGAACAGTGTCTGGAACATAGTAAGTGCTTTCTAAGTGTTTATTAAATAAATTAATAAACAAATTGTATTTACTTCCTACCTCATGTGCCCCTTCACCTCCATCTCTCAAAAGGTTGGTCCAAAGGATCTCACGAGCGGAGGGGAGGGCTGGAACAGGGGGCCAGGACAGAAGGAGCGCTCAGAGCCTGCTGTCATTCACTAAGAACACACCTCCCATCACAGCCATTGTTTCTGTCTGGAAGGGCCAGTTATAGAACATTCCAAATTTACTTGTCCTTACTCCATGCTTCACACCATCCGCATAAACATGTGATGAAGTAAAAATAAGTTGCTGAGGTCAGCCTCAACTTACAAATGACCCCTATGCACCAAGGTCACCTGTGTCCTCCTTCACTGCCCCATGCTTCTTCCCAGTCACGAAAGCTGACACGTGGCTTGCAATGCCAGGGAAGCCCTTATAAACTAAAGCAATGAGGAGATTTTTTTAAAATCCCATGGGTACACAATTAGAAGGAGAGGAAATATAAAAAGAACAGACTGATCCCAGGAGTGAGCGCTCAGTTAGGGGGCCACTGTTATTGTCCCCCCACTAAAACCACCACCACAAAAAGGGAACCACGTCCCGGAATGTGGGAAATGTTTGACTCTACTTGCTTACAAACAGTCTACAATTCCTACATTAAGAAGTTCATTTGAGTTCAACCCTAGTTTTTAAAATAAGACCTTCACTCAACAATATAAATTGAAGTAATGGCCACGTGTCAGAAGCTATTCTTGGCTCTGGGAACATGCTGGCCACTAAAAAGTCCATGCCCCCACGGAACTCATATTTAGGGAATTAAGGGGCCATCGGGCACTCACATTTTAGTATGTGTGGTTGAAGCCACTGACATTACATATATCTTGATTCCTAACTTTATCTGGAGCATAGAGCAAAGAGTGCTTTGGAGAGAATCCAGATGCACCCTGACCCAGCACACTGAAGAAGAGGATTACAGTGGAACTCAGCGTGGCAAGACAATGGGAGAAGTAGAGAAATTCAGCCGAAAGCCGAGTCTCCTCTTCCCATACCACAAGATATCTGTCTTAGTTTGCTAGGGCTGCCATCAGAGGATCACAGGCTGTGTGGCTTAAACAATAGATTTCTGGAGGTTAGAAGTCAGAGATCAAGGGTCAGGAGGGTTGGTTTCTTCTAAGGCCTCTCTCTCCTTGGCTTTTAGATGGCTGTCTTCTTCCAGTATCCTCACACGGTCTTCCTACTGTGTGTGTCTGTGTCCTAATTTCCTCTTCTTATAAGGACACCACTCATTCTGGATTAGGGTCCACTCTAACGACCTTATTTTACCTTAATTACCTCTTTAAAGGCCCTGTGTCCAAATACAGTCACGTTCTGAGGTACTGGGAGTTAGAACTTCAACATATGAATTTAGGAGGGCACGACTCAGTCCCTAACAGTCCTCTCTCTACTCTGAAGATCAAAACCAAGATAATACTATAGTGAGACTTCACCAAGCCTTAAACAGATCCAACCAGATTTTATAAACTATTTTGTGGGGAAAATATGCTCCAATTTCCAAATAAGCAAATTAAAAATAAACTCTTAGAGTGTCAATTTAGTAGACCATCTGGAAATAGTCATTTTTCTTACCCTCCTACAATGAGGCTTTCGTTGTTTGAATGAAATCTAACCAAGCAGGATCTGACCACTTGAGGATAGAATTTCTCCTCTTGAAAAAGTTTTGACACCTTTACATTCAAAATAAAGATCTTTCTGGTCCATTAGACAGGTTTTAAGCATTTCTCTATTTACAGGTATTCCATCGCTTTTATGATGGTGATTTTTAAATATGTTTCCTGATGAAGGGACCACTCACAGGAAGAGCATCGCTCCTGCTTGAACACAGGCTGCGTGCTAACTTCATTCTTTCTGGCTTCACAGGTTAAGTTGGCGTATGTGTGACTTTAAACCAAGCAAAATTCCTAACTGTAGAACTTAATTTTAGTAAATTTTATGACAATTGGAAAATTCTGGCAAGTCATCACAGATGCTTTACCCCTGAAGGGGACAATGGCGTCAAGGGGGCAGCAAGTATTATCCAATCAAACTGGGTAATTCTAGTTTATTATCTAAGAAGCCTCTCTGTAGTTCCCTTACAATTCTGTTATTTTAAAAACCTCATGCTCTTGATTATAAGTAGATTACTAACTCACTCTATGGAAATGCATATATTCTTTTTTTAATTTTTTTAATTGAAGTATAGTTGATTTACAGTGTTGTGTTAATTTCTGCTGTACAGCGAACTGATTCAGTTATATATATATATATATATATACACACATTCTTTTTTGTACTCTTTTCCATTA